TTGTCCTGCTGAACACCCTTCTTGTACTGGATTCTAAAACATATGCAGAGGAAAAAACAAGATATGTAGTATATCTATTAAGGTCCTCCTGGGGAAAAAGACAGACAGTCAGCACATGGGTTAGATATGGGGATTAGAGAAGTATCCTTCTGCATTTTATGGGACTTTGATTACATAGTGGATTGTTTAAACTTATAAGTAGACAGATAAGACAGTAGCTGAATACAAGACCCATGATTTTTAACCAGCGCTTACAACTTTGCAACATATCAGCTTGCTATGTGAACAGCCCACTGAGAAGTTCCTAAACAGTTCAGTGTCATGGTAAATTAAAATTTAGAGCCAAGCTAATCTGACACATTTAATAATATGCATCATTATTTTGATGGTGCTTGAAAATTAAGAGTAAATGGAAAGTGGCTCACTAGTGATTTTAATTAGCACCTCACTGTCTAATCAAGAATATCTAGAAGGAGGTGAGGCAAAATGTGACTGAACAGCCTCCCATGCTGGCACCTTTCTGAGATGACTGACTTTCAGGACCCTGGTGTACCAGCAAAAGATAGCTTCTTTGTTCCAGCAGAGGCTCTCAGGGGCCTCTGGGCAGTGTGGACACTGGAGTCAGGGATTTGCCCTCTGTCTGGAACGTTTCTGTCCCTCCTCTACATCTGGGTAAGTCCTTCTCATGCTTCAGATTTCATCTAAGTGATCACCAGGGCCTCAAGGAAATAATACCAACTGTCTGGATATGAGAACTGAACTTCTAACACATATTACTTTGTCTTTCTGTCTTCAACAACTGCTTCCATTCCAGTTCTCAGATCAGGATGGGAACTTGGCAAACAGCAAAATCAGCTATAACTGGAGGGTCTGAGACACAGGTACAATTCCAGATATAGTATAGGGTGTTATCTGGATATTTAGTGACAGGAGATGGCCCAAGATGACAGACTATTGGCTGAAGAAGTCCAGAAAAGGGGGAAACCCCAATAGGTGGACAGACAGTGACAGGGAGTCTGGGAGACGTGCATTACATGCAGATCTAGGCAGGCTGAGTCCAAAAGGCCACCCCAAGACTCTCAGGACACACTCTACAGGGGCAGGGGGTGCAAGGACAAGCAGCCTGAATCCAATCCTAGAGTAAGTGGGGTCTAAAGTCAGTAAACCAGGGGCCTCCCTGATGGTGCAAGGGGTTAAGTCACAGCACTATGAAGCTATCTGCAGCCTCTGCAGCATGAGTTCCATCCCCAGCCAGGGAGATACCCACATGGCGAGCAGACCTCTCCTGTCTCCCCTGCTGCTCCCTGAGCAGTGTATTTCAGTCAATCTGCATGTTCTGTTCCCCACTCTGTCTCTGGTGAATCCTCTCACCCCCAGCACCTCTGGCCTACACTCCAGATCTTGTATGCATAAATAAATAAATCTTTCAAAAAAATAAAAATAAATAAATGAAAAATAAAGTCAGAAACCAAGGTAGCGCTCTCGTCATTGGAAAGGGAGCTGTAAGGTCAGTGAAGTCCTTAAGCAAGACTGACCAGATGACATACAGCCTGTTCTGAAAACATGGAAGCCCTCAAATTCTCCTTGACAGAGGGCCTCCTGCACTTGAGACAAGCTGAGGGGAGCCCCGCGCAAGGCTGGAGCACTATGGAAGGAGTCGTTGCCACTACGTTTTGTTTGTCCAACTCCTTGTCCTTGTCACTACAATAAAGGATAGTAGAGATTTCCACATCACAGAGATACACTAAATGTGTTTGCCTTCCACTTTAAACAACATTCTTTTTCTTTTATCTCATCTTACCTTGCTAGTAGCTTAATAATTTACTAGGGGAGAGATCCTTGAGACTCAACAGTCAGGAAGTAAGTTACCCCAGAGAAGCTGCCGGGAGTTTGTGTGATGGTTTTGTGCTCATTCTTTAGCCACATACAATGCACTGCATTCTCTGCTGTAGAGGAAACTAAATTTGCAGAAATCCCCCAGGAACCGGTGAAATCATGAGTATTTTCTCCAACTTAAAATGGTGTGATCATTTCATCCCTCTTCAGTATCTTATTTAAGTTTCACTACTTGTTTTACTTTATGAAAGTGGTATGTGGGGCCTCCCCGGTGGCGCAGCGGTTGAGCACTGGGTTGCGAAGCTGCCCGCAGCCTCTGCAGTGCCGGTTCGATCCCCAGCTGCTCCCCGGCCACCGGAGGAGGGTCCCACATGGCGCGCAGACCTCTCCTGCTGCCCACTGCTCCCCTCAGCAGTGTACTTCGGTCCTTCTGCTTGCTCTGCTCCCCGCTCTGGCTCTGGTGAATTCTCTCACCCTCCCGCGCTTCTGACTGTACCCAGTGCTTGTATAAATAAATAAAAATAAATCTTTAAAAAAAAAAAAAAGAAAGTGGTATGTGGGGTATGGCTGTTCATAATAACAAAGTATGGACCAAACAACATCAGAATATGATGTTCTTAAAAAAAAGTCTAAGTGATGGCTGTTTCAGGTAATTGTATAACAAAAGCAAATGCCTACTTTTTGGTGTAATTAAATTTAAGTGACAAGGAAAGAATAATGTGAAAAATTAAAAAAAAACTTTAAAAAATCTTATCATCTGAAGAGTGTATACCTTCAGAATAAACCAAGGGATACAGGAGGAGCCATTCTTGTTGCATTTTGCAGCAGCCTCTGGCCTTGAAAGTGGTACTGACATGTTCCAATAAAGTTGAAGGAATAAGACAGGAGAGAACAGGCTCATGTCTTGGGTATGAGCCCCGCGAACCCCTATATATTCAGGCATAGAAACACATCTTGCTCTTCATGAAGCAAAGACTCCCCTCCGCCCTCTCCCCCCACCACAGACACCACCTTCTTTTTCCATTGTGCCAGGTGCTGCTCTAAGCACTTTACGGAAACATTTAATCCTCTCTATAATTCTATGAGGTAGGTAAAATTATAAATTGGGAAGTCAGAGCAGAGAGAAGTTGATTTGCCCTCGGCCACACGGAGAAGCATTAACATGAACTAGGAATCTGTTCCAGAAATTTTGGCTCTAGTGCTGAATGCTTACCTGCATTTAATACTCTTCACATTTACGAAAAGAATGCAGAAGCCTCCCTGGTGGTGCAAGAGGTTAAGCACTGCACTATGAAGCAATCCACAGCTTCTGCAGCAGGAGTTCGATCCCAGGCCAGCCAGGGAGGAAGACACATGGTGTAGCAGACCTCTCCTGTCTTGTCCGCTGCTTCCCTCAGCAGTGTATTTCAATCAGTCTGCCTGTTCTGCTCCCCACTCTGTCTCTGGTGAATCTTCTCACCCCCTGCACCTCTAGCCTGTACCCCAGTTTTTGTATGCATAAATAATAAATCTTTTTTAAAAAAGAAAGAAATAAATAAAGAAAAATATAGAACAGAATCAGAAATAGCCAGACAAACCTTAGAGCAGAAACTGGGAAAAGTTAAGGAAAAAGAGAATGCTTTTCACCTAAAAACCACCCCCACCCCCTTTGGCAAGTAGAGAGAACTGAGAAACTTCACATCTACCGCCCTCTCTCAATTCCCCTCTTCTTAGTCTCTTTTCCATCGCACCCATCACCTGACATTCCACACAATATATTTCCTTATTTTGTTTACAAATGCCGTCTGTCTTCCTCCACCCAGATGTAAATGCCTAGGAGGCTGCATCATGGTCTGTTTTGTTCCCAAGCTATTCCCCTGTGCAGAAAGGGCCCAGTCCATGGCAGGCACTCAGTATTTGTTATTAAACGAATAATACCTGCCAATCATACTCTTAATCAGATATCTGGGAAGATTAAAATCTTCCCATTTTTAACACACTTTTAAACAGTGTTTCATGAATGGGTAAAGCATTAAGAGACAAGTAAGACCCCTCAGGATGTAATCGAGTTCAATAACATTGTAATAACTATTTTTAACATCCAAAGAATTGTTCTCAGGGTTAGAACTTCGCTCAGTGGAGGTGACAGCCCTTCTTGCCAGGGAGGATTATCATGAAGTAAAACAAATAAGACTAGACAAAAAGGTGCTATGGAAATGAGACAGCAGGAAGTGGAAAGAGAGAGATTTTTGGGTTCAATTTTCTTTTCCCTCCAGGTTTATTGTTTTACTATTTGTCTCCACTTATTTTAAATATCCTTTTTGATCCATTTTGTTAAATCATATGTTCTGACACTCTATCCTAGTGAAGTCTTTAGTTGCATACTTTTAAAAAAAGATTTATTTATTTATGCCTACAAGAACTGGAGTGTAGGGCCTCCCTGGTGGTGCAGCGGTTGAGCACTAGGTTGCGAAGCTGCCTGCAGCCTCTGCAGCACCGGTTTGATCCCCGACCGCCAGCGAGGGTCCCACATGGTGCGACAGACCTCTCCTGCCGCCCGCTGCTCCCCTCAGCAGTGTACTTCGTCAGTCTGCCTGCTCTGCTCTCCCCTCTGGCGCTGGTGAATTCTCTCACCCTCCCGCGCTTCTGACTGTACCCAGTGCTTGTATAAATAAATAAATAAATAAATCTTTAAAAAAAAAAAAAAGAACTGGAGTGTAGGCCAGAAGTGCAGGGGGGTGGTGGTGAGAGGATTCACCAGAGACAGAGTGAGGAACAGAACAGGCAGATCGACTAAAACAGCTGAGGGGAGCAGCGAGGAGACAGGAGAGGTCTGCTGGGCCATGGGGTCAGCTCCCTGGCCGGCCTCTGCCTCCAGGGGATGGAACTGGTGCTGCAGTGGCTGGCGACAGCTAGACAGCGCTGTATCTTCAACTCTTGCGCCACTAGGGAGGCCCTCTAACCGCATACTTTTAGAAGGTTGTTCAGGATTAAACTGCACTGTGGTTTAACTATGGGTTTACTGTGTCTGTGCTAAATAAGGATCCTTTACTTGAAATCTGACCTTAGTGATGATCAGAAACTGTGAGGTGCCTCCACGGAGCCCAGGCTTTTCAGTCCTGTAATAGGGGGCCCTGCCCTTCTTTACTATCCTCCTCCAGGCTCTTTCTGTTTGCTTGATTCAGGCCTCTCCCTGAAGGCAAACAGCTGTCATCACCTTTCTACCTGGTCTTACCACTGAATGGGCTGACATGGAAGCAGAGAACTCTGCAGGAAGCTGTGTGAGAGCTGCTGCTGAAGGATGTTCTTTGTGATCCTGCAATCTGCGCAAGGACCTGCACTCACAATGACACTGTAACAGGAAGTTGCTAATTCTGCTGCTTGCTGGAGCGGAAAGTTCCTGCCGGTGAGCTGCTTGCCCACAGTAGTAGCTATAGCTATCTTGACCCCCTTCCCAAACCATAAAGAAAGTCTGTATGGGGCCTCCCCCGTGGTGCAGCAGGTTGAGCGCAGCGCTGTGAAGCTGTCCACAGCCTCTATAGCACCGGTTTGATTCCCGGCCAGCCAGGGAGATTCCCACATGGCGCGGCAGACCTCTCCTGTCTCACCCGCTGCTCCCTTCAGCAGTGTCTTCCATCTGTCAGCCTGTTCTGCTCCCCGCTCTGTCTCTGGTGAATCCTCACCTTCCCGCGCCTCTGGCCTGTACCCCAGCTCTTGTATAAATAAATAAGATCTTTTAAAAAAAAAGGGGGAAGAAAGTATGTGATAGGTGGGGTGACAAGCTTCCACATACAAACTGTATAAAAACTTACCATTCCTGCAACTTGGGCTCAGACTTTTTGGGAGCTATCCCACTGAGCCTGCTGGTGTGACAAATAAATCTCTCTCTACCTCTCTTGTGCCATCTGATATCTCTGGGAAATTGCCATAACAATACTTCAGATCAGGTACCCTTGTAACAAGGTGGTCCACAGGATAAGGGGAGGTTCCAGGTTTCCTGCCCCACCCAAGGGAGGGTGGAGCTGAGCAGGGAGGAGGAGAAGCTGGAGAGGAGACTGGGGAAGGAAGGAAGCAGGATGGAGAGCCAGAAGGAGACCTGGAGGAGGCACATGGAGCAGAGAGACACGTGAAGAAACTGCGCTTGCCTTTTGGTCGTGGACTGGGTGACACAGATGCGGGTAAGAGACCCTGGGAAGGTTAACAATGGCAGCTTTTATCTTGGGTCTAGGGCTTCAAGGGGAGGACGGGGTCTCACATGATGAGGAAGAGTTGACCTCAAATGACAAAATTTTGCCTTTACATGTGTTTGTCTTGTCTCAAAGATAAGTTGCTCCGATAAAAAGGTTGTTTCTAAAGATGTCCTTAAATCCAGGTAATTTACATTCTTTAAGTAATTATAAGTTTCTCCTAAGGCCCAGAGGGCTTTGATTGACATTAGTTCCACATACCAAGGTAACACACATAGGAAAAAGTCTGCTCTAGACATCTTGGAAAAAGTCTGAACATTTGAGGGAGGCCTATCTGACACTATCTTTCCAGCTTTTCTATTAATCTAAAATTACTCCAAAATAAAGTTTTCCCAAAAAAATCCTATCAGGTAGGTTCTAAGACTTTTATAGAGAGCTGTAGTTGAGAGAGGTTAACTTGCCCATAACATTACAGCTACAAGAGAATTCATCCTGCAAGGGCCCTAGAACAATTCTGATAGCCTTGTATGTGAGTCACTTATTCTTTTAGATCCTTTTCTTGGTATCTTAGGAGTCTCAGTGCTTGATGATCTCCAAAAGAGTGGAGGTGGCTTTGTCCCACTTCTCTTATCCTGACCCAACAACAGTATCTTATTTATTTATTTATTTATTTAAAGATTTATTTATTTATGCATACAAGAACTGGGGTACAGGCCAGAGGTGTGGGGGGTGTGTAAGAGAATCCACCAGAGACAGAGTGGGGAACAGAACAGGCAGATCTACTGAAATCCACTGCTGAGGGTAGCAGCAGGCAAGTCAGGCGAGGTCTGCTGTGCCATGTGGGTAGCTCCCTGGCCAGGGATCAAACTTGTGCTGCAGTGGCTACAGACAGCCTCATAGGTTGTATCTTAACCCCTTGCACCACTAGGGAGGCCCATCTTATTTATTGAAGGCTTAAGGACGTTATTTTCTTTAATGCTCAAAACAACCATACTGAGTATTATTACAGACCAATATTTTATAGACCAGGGAAATTAGGCTAAGGGAGGTTCAATAACTTGCCCACAATTACCCAGTAACTCATTGGAACTTGAACTTGACTGAACCCAAATCTGTCTAAAACTAAAATACTGGCAAAACCACTTATAACTATTCACTCTATCCTGCCCCATGTTGCCTTTTTTTTTTTTTTCTTTTTTGGCTTTAACTATAGCAATAATGAAAAATTATGGACAAGAAATGTTTGTTATATTGAATGGAAACTTTCATAATCCACTTCATGTAAAATATGACTGTCATCAGGAAATGATTAACTTTATACTCAAAGGAACTATTCCTGGTGTGTCTTCAAGTTGTATTTGCTCACTTTACTAATGAAGCTGAGATTTTCACTGCCTTTCTTGCTGCAAGAGTTAATATAGCTGTGGTGCAATGAACTGGAAGCTCTTCTCTCCCATGTATCATAAACACCAATTGTCAAAGAAAATATGTTGTCTACATTTGTTATTGAAATGAGCAGAAAGCACATAACTTCATTTCCAGGTTCCGGTGTGATTTTATAAATTATGCAATTGAAACTCAATCTCTTAACTTCGTTGGCCTGGGCTTTGAGAGAGAAAATTCTTTGTAATTCCACACTGTTTCTTAAACTTAAGATGATCGAAGTTCCTTATGAATTTCAGACTTTCCCCCTCCCTTAAACACATGTGTGTTTCCTCCTTTCTTTATTTGCATGCAAAATAAGCATTACAGAAAACAACTTATTTTATTTTTCAAATTCTCATTTTGAGAGTAACTGTTGAAGAAAATTGTGCTTTGTTCACTTAACAGAAATTTGTTAGATTGCAGCTCTGCTATTTCTTTGCAATTGAAGTCAAGGAAAATGTCGTGTTTACTCCCTCCAGTCACCAGATGAGACAAACCAGAGTTATGTTCTCAGTCAAGAGAACTGAAAGTTTAAACATGGCCATTTGAGGTCTTGTAGAGAACAAAGCAAAGAACTTTGACTCTCCCTCCCTCAAGTCTAATAGCCTGTCCCAGCTTTGGACCCACAAAAACATCTTCCATTTGAAAAGCTCAGCTGAGGCCAGGGTTCACTAGGCCCTCAGGTGAGCAGGAAAAATAGAGGCAGAAATATATGTTACAAGCCCACTGTGACTCACCAAGCTTTATACTGAAATATTCTGAGTTTTTCTTTCTTCAAAAAGATTTTATCAATAATAATAATACTAGAAGCAGTTGAAGTGTATCAAACATCTAATGTGCCAAGCATTGGGCTGAATGGTTATACTCAGATTGTAACAGGGTGGTGCCCAAGGAAAGGGGAAGTTCCAGGTTCCCTGTCCCACCCAAGGGAGAGTGGAGCTGAGCAGGGAGGAGAAGAAGCTGGAAAGGAGACTGGGGAAGGAAGGAAGCAGGATGGAGAGCAATGAGGAGACTTGGAGGAAGCCCATGGAACAGAGAGACATGTGAAGATGCTGCACTTGCCTTTTGGTCGTGAATTGGTTGAAACAGATGTGAGTGAGAGACCCATGGGGAGGTTAACAATGGCAGCTTTTATCTTGATTTTGGTCTTTTCTTCCCAGACTTGTCTAGTTGTTTCTGATCCTTTTCTGTGGGTCCCCACTGAAAGGTGCTTTAGACTTATGCAGGCTTTCAGACCTTGCTCTGGGCCAATATCATTTGGATGGACTTTTACCCATGACGGGATGGGTAACCTTTGGGTGCTTGATTTAGAAACTGTATTCTTTTCTGTATTGTTCACTAATTGTATTAAAGTTCCTTTCCATTAAAGGTCTTATGTTTTGTCTTAATGTGGCAGATGGCAGAACTATTTAGAGCAGGTAGGTATGGGGGTCTTGGGGTGTCCCTCTCCCTGCCCTGTAATAAGATGATTAAATTTAATCCAAAATCAAGCTCTACTATCTGCATTTTACAGGTAAACACATATAAGGCAACGATTTTGAAACTATCCTTAGGGTTCCCTTGAGGGGAGGAGGTAGGAGCTAGGAAAGGCAGGTGCTGCACCTCCCCCTGCAGTGACCTTTAGGGCTAATGGCTTTCGTCACGGTCCCTAGGTCCGGCTGGGCAAGGAACAAGCTCGCAGGGGAGTACAGCAAAGTTCCCTGAAGACATAGATAAGACAGACGCTTATCAAAAGATAACGACCACCAGGAACCACTACAAGAATGCTACTACAAAAAACCTTATCTCGTCTTTCTAGAACTACAAACTTTATTCCCTTATTGTCTTTCTAAACTTCCTTCTTTCTTCTATAAAGGTCATTGGTTGTTAATTAAAAAATCATATGAAATCCTTAAACAAGGCTGACTCAAATGAAACATTACTAAACCCTGTGTAATAATACTAATTAAAATATAGTTTAGGTGATGCACCCCTATGTTTATAGCAGCACTGTTTACAATAGCTAAGCTTTGGAAACAACCCAAATGCCCAAAAATAGATGACTGGATCAAGAAGATGTGGTACATATATATCATGGAATATTACTCAGCATTCAAAAAAGATAAACACATGCAATTTGCAGCAACATGGATGGCGCTGGAAGGGATCATGCTCAGCGAAATAAGCCAAAAAGAAAAAGAAAAATACCGGATGGTCTCACTCATAGCAGGAATCTAGAAAACTTAAATAAGGGACCAGGAAAATGAATAACTTTAAGAAAGTGAAAATCAAAATCAACAAAAAACTATGAACCAGAGACACTTTTAGGGGGGCGGGGCGGGAGGGGAGGGATTGGGGTCAGAATGGGGGGGCTGCAATTGTATGGGGAATATAACAATAAAATTTATTTTAAAAAAATTAAAAATAAATAAATAAATAAATGATTAGATCATTACTGTAAAAAAAATATATATAGTTTAGGTGAAAAAGTAGTTAGTAAAACAAAAAGCGATTATACAGTTTAAAAACAAAACTAATAGCCTAACTACTTAGGAATGCGGCTAGATCCAGATGTAAATCACTGCCCTGTCAATGATAAGCTAAACCCATGAGCAAGCTAATTTCGTTGATATTCACTGTTCCTATGCTTTTAAAAAACATATATATATATATATATATATATACTGGTCACAAACTCAAAGAAAATTACACTCAGATTTACACTCCCTCTTAAAGTGTGTCTGTTTGTCATTTCTTTCGCCAAATCCCTGACCACCCTGCGCAGTCTCTCAACCCTGAGACGGCCTCATCGCTC